AGACTCAGCCCACTGAAGGTAGGCCGTCCGCGAAAACTGTTCCCTCTGAGCAAGAGCCTTCGATTTTGAAAAGGATACAGGTGGTAAGATGGAAACAGTAATAGAAGGTAGCGGATGTAGACACCGCCCGCTGGAAGCGGATCGTTGGCGAAAATTGTTGAGCTGGAGCATTAGAATTTGTAAGGGAAAGAAGCGGTAAGATGAAAACCCTGATGGCATGTGGCAGGTGTGGAATCTGGCCCTTGGGTAGGGAAGGGGAGGGGGAGGGGGTCGGAAAGGATGGAGGAAAGGGAAAATTCTAAATCAACAATCCTATCCCGAAGCCTCCCAGATTATGCTCCACTAATTCATAGCTTTGCTCCCTTTCAGACATGAAGCGTTCATGAAGTATACCAAGTTTCACACTGAGGGGAGGGTGGCCGATACATTCACACTGAGAGAAAGGTGACCCTGCTATATACATATATTGTGTATTACAATAGACCGATCAGCCGCAGCTTTGTTCTCTTTGTTATACAATGTTCCGAGGAAAGTGAGGAAGTCGAAAGATGTATGATGGTGGGTATATAACTGAGAATATAACGACCTATAATGGTAGCGGACTTTGACCATTGCCACTAGTGTGCTACACGATAATGAGCTACCACTCATTTTTTCAGCAAGAAATGGAAAGGGTAACGATAGTCCTCAGTAGGAAATTTCAACCTTAACATAGAAATAACGAGAACCCGGCCTTAGCCGGGCGAACCGAAAGGTGTGGAAGAAGGTGAAGAATGGGTTGTGGAATTTTTACGGGAACATGTCCTTGAATAGGCGATTCAAGGAGCAAAACTTCGTAATATGATCCCTAAACAGCGGTTGGAAAAATGAGCAAAAATGCGGAATGAGGGAAAAGACTGAGGAAAAAATGCAAAGGTCAAAGAAAGCGAAGGAATTTCAATCCCATAAGATTTTGAAGAACAGGTTTTGAAAGGAGAGTTCATGTTACAAGTTTAATAGTTTGTTCAAGATGTTTATTGCTGTGATGCACCTGTTATTGTGCGTAGACCAGCTGGTAAAGAAGCAGCGGCTTCCGATGAATTATTACTTTCCGAAAGAAAAGCTCTGACCTGTTGTTGCAAAGTTCGGCTTAAGATCGGAAATACGAAAGCGTTTGTGACCATCTATATAGGACTCGAACGTAGAAGATGAAATTTTAGGGTTTCTGAAGAAGGAATCTCAAATTAGAAACGTTGTTACAAAAGCTCGCCCTGACCTGATGTTCAAACGAAAAAAGCTGTCGAAAAGA